GCATTTTTCAAAATTCTACCAAAAACAAACACGGTGTAGGCAATGAAAATACAGGAGACAGAGGAGAAAAGGGAGATTCATATAAAATGATAAACATAGCATCAACTTTGGAAATGTAGTCCAACACAAAATATGCTTAATTTTTTGTATTTACTTCAATCTAAGAAGGATGTACTCTTCCTAAGAGCTCCCATACTTTCACAGTGCTAGTAAATCACTGCTGGCTGAAACCTTGAACCAAACTACTTAATATTCGTAATCTGTATGTATCCTAATCAATCATTTCCTGGGTAGCAGTGAATCTTCGACTTGCAAGTCATAGACCAGTCTTACAAAGACATCTTATCGCTAAAATAATGTACCTCTTTCCAATGTCTTTCGCTGTACCTCTTGCAAATCTCTCCTTCCCCTTTACCTCTTTACAACAGATAACAAAATAAGCTGTACCACGATAAGGTGCCTTGCTAACCACTTGAGGATGGTCAATCAATGTTTATTTTTTGTGTGTTTCTGAATCTGTACGAATTAGTGTGGTGTTGGTGTTGGTAATGCCTCTGAATAACTCCTGTTTCCCCTTCCCTCAGCAGCTCTCGCAGCTCCCCCAAAGCACTGAAAGTGAAGCAGGAGGATGGGGTGGAGAGAGTAACAGAGATAAGGGAACCCCTAACCAGCTTAGGTAGGAGATGGGCTGTTTCAAACAAGGAACATGGAAGAAGCCAAACCAATGAGACTCAAATGTCTCCCTCATAGAGAGAGCTGGGGCGCTCTTGGCTCCTCAAGTCCCTGCTCTCTACCCCAGCAATACTTTCTATTTTCTCTGGCTTTCATACATGGTTCAGTTCTGACTGAGGTAGGACAGAGTTGAGTAGACCGAGCTGTTTCGGCTCTTTTTAAGTTGTTTGAACTTGAAAAGTTGTCCATCAGTGTTCTGTCCTTAGTGTAGGCTAATTGATGTTATGCGGGTGTTTTGAATTAAACTGCCCAGTTACTGTTCCCACCCTTCTTAAGAGTCTATTAGGCCAAGGTGGATTAAGAAGGGTATCTTGTTACTAATGCAAAGTAGCTATTTGACACCATGCATTGCAGAATGGTGGTGGTCACCGTTGGCATCAGGACAATACTGCAGATGAAGGTGAAGTTTTATCACTGACAGATTAAACATGTTGTTAGTACTCCATGAGTAATGATATGTGGTTTGTAGTTTTGAAGTTGTCAGAGGCTGGCATGGCTTGATGTTCAGCAGGGGTGTAGTGCTGCCGGAGTGCAGGGGAGCGGCTCTCCCTCACTTTTTTCAAATTGAGAATACACAGAGCTGGTAAAAATATTTAAGAATTATACTTTTTTTAAGCTGAATCAATGCAAGATCACATAATGATGAATTAGTGTTTTACATAACAGAACTGAATATAATAGCATAGTAGGCCTAACGTTACTGTTACACCAAAAACACTTCATTTCTAGTGAGATTTTAGGAGCTGAAGCTGAATAGTCGCATTTCTTTTCTCATGCGGCAAAAACTCAGCAGAGCCCGCCACTAGGCTTGTTACATGTTTTGATTAAAACAAAATACAAGAAAGGCGAATAGTTTATTAACACCATCTGCTGTAATTCGCTCACAAAACAGTAATTCAAGGAAATCTAAATGCATATTCCCATGAAACTGCTTGAGATCAAATGATTCGCATGCAGACGCAGTCTGGACATTTCACCGGTAAAATGTGAAGAATTGTCATTTATGATTGACAATGATAATGGCCTATTTTGAAATTTGGTATGCTTTGATGTTTGAGGGTATTAAAAATATGACATTTTCTTGACAATATGGGTGAGCATAGGCAGACATTGCAATTGGAGGATGCATTTTATGCGTGTTCTATAGAAATATTCAATAGGCTACATCTGTCTGTATAAACTTTGAGAAATTCTGACATAATTATTTTTTGAGGCGCACCCGCAGCAAAAAAAAAAAATAGCACTACACCACTGGTGTTCAGGAAAAGTAGTCTGTTGTCAGGACTCAGGAGACCTCCGGCTCAAATCCCAGGAGATTCAGTCCCGGTTCAAATGTTTAAGATATGAGTGCATCTGTCTGCGGGACCCCACCAAAGCAAACATTGCCACCCCCTTTCTGATAGTGGGGTTGTACATGCCACGTTTCCCTTATGGCTCAGTTCAGGTGCCTACATACACCATAGACTTATACATCATTTACACAGACACACAGTCAGCTCAGACAGATCCAGCTCAGAGAGGCCCAGCTCAGACAGATCCAGTTCAGAGAGGCCCAGCTCAGACAGATCCAGTTCAGAGAGGCCCAGCTCAGAGAGGCCCAGCTCAGAGAGGCCCAGTTCAGAGAGGCCCAGCTCAGACAGATCCAGCTCAGAGAGGCCCAGCTCAGGAGCTCCATCAGCAGCAGATTGTAATTTAGAATGGAAAATGAATGTGTTTATGCAATAAATGTTAGTGCATCGTATAGCATCAAAGAGTCGTTTGCTAGTTTCAACTCAACCAGCCATCCAGTCTTCAGTCAGCTGTTCGTAAAAATAAAGTCTTCATCCATAACTGTCAGTTATTCTGTAATTGTGCCAGCCCTAGTTACAAATTGGAATATACTTTTTGACTATATATCGTATCGCTTTGACAATATTTCAATATATTGCACTAGTTGGCTGTACCTGCACCAAAACTATTTTACCTTCATAGCCAATTTGTTTTCAGCGCTTTTATTTCCATGAATGATGAAAACATTTTCGTATGGCTTTCTCTTGTCCCTCTACAGCATACATATAGTGAGCAATATGTTTGGAACATTAAATCGCAATAAAATCAAAGTATCGAATCGCTGTTACATATAGAATCGCAATACATATTGTATCGCCACCGTCGTATCGTTTTAATATCATATCTAGAGGTCCCTGGCAATTCACAGCCCTTTTCCTGCACACTGCACTAACAAAGGATCCTTTTTGCTAGCATTGTGCAGACATTTCAGCCTTTCAACCAGAGGAGGCTGGTGGGAGCAGCTATAGCAGGACGGGCTCATTGTAATGGCTGGAATGGAATATATGGAATGATATTTACATTTACATTTTATTCATTTTAGCAGACGCTCTTATCCAGAGCGACTTACAGGTAGTGAGTGCATAAATTTTTCATACTGGCCCCCCGTGGGAATCGAACCCACAACCCTGGCGTTGCAAGCTCCATGCTCTACCAACTGAGCTACAGGAGGGCCAGTTTGATATATCAAACATATGGAAACCACGTTTGACTCTGTTTCATTTATTCCCTTCCAGCCATTACAATGAGCCCGTCGTCATATAGCTCTTCCCACCAGCCTCCTCTGCCTTTAAAGAATGCTCAACATCGGTTTCCTCAGTAAACACCCAGCTGTTGATATGGGTAAATGTTGGAAATGAAACACGAGGGAATTTTTATATTATTCCCAAAGCCTGGCGTGTTGAATGGAAGTTGTAATTAGTTGTATGTTCAGTCACACAATACGTTTGGGCAGGATATTTGATGTCTCAGATGCAGATATAACATCTTGTTTTGATGTAGGCTAGATTAAACTCATGAGCTACTGTCAGAGCCTATACTTACTAACCAATACCCTACAGCTGAAGTTGTATTAGCCAATATTGAGAGTAATGTGGGTTAAAAGTGACCTAAATATCTCTGAACCCTTGAAACATGTAGCCTACAAAATTATTGTACATATATTTAAACTAGAATACAGCAACAATGATTACAGTATGCGGAGGCCGCCTCTTTGCTTGGGAGTCTGGGTCAGTTTGTTTAGTCTTAGCAGTTTTGAAGAACTTGAAACCGTCTACTCAGGCCGAAAGATAAGCAGGAGAATTTGATTGGAATACAGCATTGAGAGAAGAACCTTACATGTCAGTTAATTTATTTGACGTGTATTTGGGTCTCTTCTTAATTGGGGTGATGCTGCAGAATATTAGTTCAGCAATTGTTTAGCTATCAAGTCTCAAGTTAGTCCGCTTCATAATAGTTGTATTAAATCCATAATCAATGACTACAGCATGAGCAGCAGATGAGTCATGTCAAGTTCCCTCAATAAGAACTCTCCACACAACACAGCCATTTCAGGCTGCTTCGGTTTTTTGCAGTCTGTATGTAGCCATTCATACTCTTCATTACTTTGTTACTAAAAAATGTTGCTGAATAAGCCTCTTATCTGGCGCATGAATAAAGAAAGAAAGCACAGCATATGCTGCTCCCAAGTGCTTTCATATAACCTACACCAGTGTTTCCACTGGAAAATGTGTTAGCTGTGTGGGAAAAGTTAGTGTGTCGTCCCCCCGTCCCCCCCAAAGAGAAAAGCTTGGTTCTGGTTACATTTTAAAAGGAAAAAACTCAAATAAACCATCTAAAACATCATTTCCACCCCCAGAAAAGAGTTCAATAACGTATTGATAAAATGATTATAGTATACAGGATGCAATTTAAGGTTGAGTGCTGCAGCTATCTAAAGAAACACAACAGAGACCTTTCTGAAATAAAAAGTTTATCTTGACAAAATAAACAGGAACATTTGACTGAACATGAATTAGAGCCCACTAATTAATGGTCATCACAAAAGGAGGGCGTTGGAAATCTCTTTCCAGGTTCTAACAAAAACCTAGTTCTGACAGAGCTTACAGCCTTTGTCAGAGCACTTTATTCTTCTGGGCTTTTGGAAAAAGATTTCCAACTCTTTCCTGTAATTGAGCTTCTTGATGGGGGGGTTGATGGAGAGCTGCATGCAGGCGGCTAGATGCTCTCCCTGCAGTCTGTTCCTCAAGTCTGTTTTAACCTGCAATAACAGAGATAATAATAAGAGAAGGGAGAGGGACAAAGAGGATCTACTTTCACATTTAAATGTTCTTACTCGTTTCATTGCAGAGAAGTCCCTCTCACAATTAACGGAAAACACTGGTATAGTCAGTGCGATTGCTGCCAGCTGGCTAAGGCAGGGGTAGAGCTGCCCCCACTCATCAAACTTTGTCATTGCCGTCAGCTGGTCCAACCCCTGAAATACATGAAAAACTAAAAGATGTACAACATTAAAGAAGAGCCAACAGAGTGGTAGTTCAACAGTAAAAAGGGTTGGGCAACACTGGCCTAAAATGTTCTCTTCAAAAGATTGTCACACTCATGCCATACTTTGAATGCTCCAACTAGCACATGTTGCTTGTAAGAGGGCCACTCTTGCAGCACAACAGCCTCTGGTGCTTGCATTAACTGCCTGGAGAGGAGGGTCAGGTTAAAGGTGTTCATCCTCTCACTAGAGAACGCAGCCTGAGGGCCCAACACACTGAAGGCCCCCAGAATCTCCAGGTGTTGGAACCTCCGGTCTAGGCTGTCCTGTAGGCCAACAAGATATGGATCCATGACCTAATTACAGCACAAAACAGAAAAAAAGTGATTAATAGCTGTTTTGTTTTAGTTTATCCAACACACATGATGTAACATTGGTTTCATCACAGCATTTGAAAACAAATGTTTTTACCTCCTCTTTGACCCGAGCCCAGAACTGCTTCCTGGTCTTGGTCTTCTCCACTTGGCCTCTCACTCTCCCTCTCCTCCTCCTTGATGTTGAATGCGCCCAGACCCATTGGATGGAGTTGGCCCAGAAATGACCCCGAGGGCTGGGAATCACCAGAGTTCTTTATGGTGAGGAGTGATGCCATTGTCACAGGGACCTACAACACAAGTGTTGTTTTGCTTGAAGTTATGATAATGAAGGGTCAGTAGTTGTTAAATATTTCATTGAGTAGTGCTGTCCTGTGACTCTGTTAAACGGAGACATTTGCACACGTTTGAACGTGAAGATAGAAAAGAATGTACCTGCTCTTTTATGGCCAGGAAGTTTACATCCTCCTTTTGGAATACGTTTGAAAGCCGCGTCAGCGGAGGCAGCACGTCCGCCTGCAGGTAAAGTGCTGCCACAAATCTGTTGAGTTAGAAAAGTTTGTCACGCCACAATGATACATCAATTGGCAATACAAAACAGGTTTTAAAAGCCACATTGTAGACCACTTAAATAGAGTTTTAGAGACTGAAAGCAGTAATAGCAACATAGTACATTATTTATTTTGGAGTCCACTATAATCTATAATACATGTAGGCCTACCTGTACGTGGCACAGAAAGCTTAGAGGCCCTTAGCAGTTGGGCACCTGTCCACCTCCGCAGCCAACACTGCGCCAAGGTTTCGCTGAAGATTAGCCACAGCCAGGTGCTGGAACAGCCAGCGAACATCCTTTACTTCCTGCAAAATATATTTATTTTGAGTGTAGATGCAGTAGGTAAACAAGATGAGACCAGAGTAGCCAAGTGAAGAAATGTGATGCATAATCTCACCTTCACTTTTAAGTACTGAAGGCCCAGGGTCGCTGAGGCAACTTTCAAGACTTGTTACTGCTTTTGGCAAAGTAACTATGGAGCTGCTGCAGGTGCTCCTTGAAAGTGTCCATATAAGGGACCTTAGCTGATGCATCCTTACAGGCCAGAGCAAGGCAGTGGGCAGCACAAGCCACAGACCCCATCCATTGGAAGGCATCCTTTAGCTGTTTTGCCACACCACTATGTTGTCCTGTTTGAAGATGAGGAAAATAATTTGTATCACAAGACATACAAAAAAAAAATATTTCTAAGACTTTGTGTTGTGTCCATACCAGTCATCACTGCAGCCCCACCAATCTCTCTGTTGGTATCTTTTTGATCTGCAGCACCTCCTTGATGGCGGCAACGATGGTGTCTGCCTTGCCATCAGGGACTGAGACCAGGTCCAGGAACTGGTTGTAAAGGTGTCCCTCTTGGTCCATGTATCTGGAAGATATACAAAAATCCATACACAATGTCATTATTACTCATGGATGCAGTGTGACTATAGAATACCACTATTAAAAATAACTGTGTAACTTATTGAAATAATACGTGACATGTAAATCCAGCTGCTGATTAGTTGCCACATGTAGTTTCATCAGCCTCCAGGCCAATGGCTACAGATGTCTGGGTGGCATGGAGGATAGGCTCCTCCACAATCTTCAACATTTCGTCCACTATTATGTGTGGCCTGTAGTTTGTGTTCTTTATGTGTGGCCTGTAGTTTGTGTTCTTGCCAATCTTCAAGTAAATGAGAACTATTTGAAATAAGTCTGGTGACATTTAAATATCAAGTGGAGAAAATGTGAACAAAAACAGAATTGTGGAGCACTCATTTACATTGAGCTTTGTGAAATAGTCACAACCCAGCAATTCAACAAGGTCCAGCAGTTCTGGGAAGTTTGTGTGATGGGCCTGCTCCCGCTTTGTTAGACAGTACAGACATAAAAAAAACAATGACGGCCTCGTGCTCAAGCACTGTGGTTGGCACGAATGCAACCATGACTGAGGAGCCTGTGAACAGTAACAGGCATAATGCGTTATTATTGAGCCATGGTTAGTGCACAATCTGAGACATCTTTTACATTAGAAGACATTTTGAGAAATGGAAGGATCCAATAGAACAATCTTTACCTTTTGCCAGCATTGCATGAGCCCTCACACTTTCCATGTGGTGCTCTGTCCCTGGGTGCCGGTTAATATAGTCCAGCCGATGAATCTGGGCCCCTATTTCAATAAAAGGGCGTTTTGACACACCCCTCTTAGCAGCCTGCCTATGTTGACGGCACAGGCGGCAGAACATTCCTAGACGGGATGTAGAGTGTAGTTTAGTGGAGTTACTGGTGACTGGTGCACACTACACATAATGCTGTAGACTAGTACATACTAAATATGCACAAACATTTTTAGCCCTTAGCCTAATTTAAAGGAAATGTGACTAACCATGTGGCATATTATATAGCCATGGCTTCAGTCTATCAATTTTAAGCCACTTTGGGCCCCATCCGGATTGCCGGTGGTGTGCACTTGGCCTTGCTCCTCTCTCCTCCTCCCCTCCTTTTATCTACTCCACTTTCTTCTCCTTCTCTCTGCTCCCCTTTCTCCTTTTCTCCTTCCATCTCCCCTCCTGGCTCTCTCCTCTGCTCCATTCTGTCCCTCATGCATCCCTACCCCACTCCCTGGTTTCTGCCTCTTCTCTGTCTAGTAAAGTAAGCCATACACTTGTTATAACGAAAGCTTAAGCTTTTAAAAAGTTAGCTAACTAAAGAAAGTTTCATTTAATTCAGGCTGATTTGACGTTAGCTAGCTAAGTTAACGTTACTTGACACACTTGTCCCTGCTCCCCCTTTCTCTTTCGCTGCTGTGGCTGGAAATATTTCAATAAACTCATCTGAGAAAAATAAAATAAAATCGAAGACAGATAAATGTAGCTATCTTGCTTGCTCTTGATACAGTTCCAAACGAACTAGCAAGCTAACTTGCTAGACTAGTAACGTTAGTTAATCATGTTTCTATCATCAACATACTTGTGGATATTAAATAGCTAATTGCCGTTACAATTGTGGCAGCAATATTATAGATCTAAATGATGTTAGTAGAGTTTTTAAGTTATAGCTTGCTTATGTAGTTAACTAGTTGGCTAGCTAACATTAGTCAAACAAACAAGCTAACGTACCTTTCTTGCAGTTTCTCACTCAGGTGATTTCAAGTTAATAGTGTTTCGCGTCACAGAGCTTCTGTATCGAGCACTGGTCACTAGGACTGGTCACTGGCGCGCTGTGTTTCTTGAGTTGCAGGCTGCCTGCCACAGCTCACAGAGCTAAATAACATTCAGAACTGTGTTGAACCCAGACAGATTATCGATTTACCAAGAAAAGCGAATGTGCTTTACAGAACTTTCTTGAAACTATGTTTGGTAGAAATAGGATGTTTATTTTGGTGTGGCGGCAATGATTCTGCTCTGGCGCAGCGCCATACTTAAATGAACGCAGAAGAAACACTGACCTACACCATAGTAGAATTTAGCTTCAGCACTAGGCTTGGGCGGTATCCAGATTGTCAGACCTTCATACCGACCTTGTGCGATCCATGGATATTCGTTAAGACCAGCACTGAACACAAGGGGGTGCTATTTTCACTCCCAAGGTTAGCAATACTAATAAGTACATGTAAAATCCCATAGCGAATTCTATCTAAATGCTAACAAATGCATGCAAACATTTTATACTGTCTCTGACATAAACTATTTGTAGGACAGATATTCCAGCTCGTAAAGGTATACAAGGAACTCAAAATGCTACTCACTGTTTGCTACAAACAAATATTAGATGGCAAGGCTACTAAGTTAGTAAACCAAATGCACAACTGCAAAGCATTTAGCACATTTTAGACAGTTCACTTAATAGTTATGATATCTAGCCGGCAAACATTTAATTGTGAATTCTATACTGTAACTAGATCACCTGGCGCGTGCTTCACAACAGTGAGCGACTCCGGTCTCTCATTGTTGTGTGCTTGTAAATAAACGTGACTGGAGACTACCAGTAAGCTTCTTAATGTAAAATAATGTGACGTGAAATGAAGAATGCGATCTGCTTTATCTCCTAACAAATTGCACAAGTTGACTGCAGGTATTTACTTAAAAAGTAGCAATAAATATTCCAATGTATTATAAAACGTAAAATAAATAATTTAAACGGTATTGAAACACAATCCTGTGGCTATTTCCAAATACCCCAGTATATGCTGTATACAGTATACCGCCCGAGCCTATTTAGCAGCCAGGTAAATTGAAACATTTAGGAGGAGCATATGCTGTGTGCTATCTTTATTCATAGTGTTTGCTATTGGCCCAGTACCACCAATGAGAAAGTCAGTCACATCTTTTTTCCACAACTTTTCAGCAGACAGGTGTTTTATAACACCTGTGCCACAGTAATGGCTGGGGAACATCTGTCTGCTTTGTTATTGCTGGAGGTTGGTTTATACCACCCGATGAGGATGATGCCCTCCAATTGTTCAGCATAAGATGTTTAGTTCATGGACAAGACCATGACTTTAGACATTACGCAATTATTTAGGAATATACTGCTCTAGGCAAGACTAGGCAATATTATCCCCCATATCCCTGCCAGTGGTTCCCCTAGATTCATTTAGCTGTTGCCACCACTGAAATAAATATGATTTAAAAAATAATATATATATATATATACAGTGGGGAAAAAAAGTATTTAGTCAGCCACCAATTGTGCAAGTTCTCCCACTTAAAAAGATGAGAGAGGCCTGTAATTTTCATCATAGGTACACGTCAACTATGACAGACAAATTGAGAAAAGAAAATCCAGAAAATCACATTGTAAGATTTTTTATGAATTTATTTGCAAATTATGGTGGAAAATAAGTATTTGGTCACCTACAAACAAGCAAGATTTCTGGCTCTCACAGACCTGTAACTTCTTCTTTAAGAGGCTCCTCTGTCCTCCACTCGTTACCTGTATTAATGGCACCTGTTTGAACTTGTTATCAGTATAAAAGACACCTGTCCACAACTTCAAACAGTCACACTCCAAACTCCACTATGGCCAAGACCAAAGAGCTGTCAAAAGACACCAGAAACAAAATTGTAGACCTGCACCAGGCTGGGAAGACTGAATCTGCAATAGGTAAGCAGCTTGGTTTGAAGAAATCAACTGTGGGAGCAATTATTAGGAAATGGAAGACATACAAGACCACTGATAATCTCCCTCGATCTGGGGCTCCACGCAAGATCTCACCCCGTGGGGTCAAAATGATCACAAGAACAG